GAGAGAACTGAACAACAACAGATGAGGTAGAGAGGGAAGATGGGAGGGGAGGGGGGATAGTAGGGGATAGGAAAGGCAGCAGAATACAACAGTCACTAATATGGCATTATGTAAAAATTGTGAATGTGTAACTGATGTGATTCTGCAATTTGTATTTGGGGTAAAAATGGGAGTTCATAACTCACTTGAATCAAATGTATGAAAGAAGATATGTCATGAAGTTTGTAATGTTTTGAACAACCAATAAAAAAAATAAAAAAATTTAAAAAAAGCCCAAAGATGTGAAAGAAAAAAAAAGTGTAGATTTTTCAAATTTTCAAGACATTTGAATTTTTCAAATTCAAATTGGCTTGTATTTTTAAAAAATATTTATTTATTTTTGGTTGGACAGAATATCTTTATTTTATTATTTATTTTTATGTGGTGCTGAGGATTGAACCCAGGGCCTCGCATGTGCTAGGTGAGCACTCTACAGCTGAGCCACAACCCCAGCACCTGTATTTTTTAATAAGTAAGAAATACAAACTATAGTTATTTTTACAGAGTAACACAGATGAATGAATAATGTGTTAATTCAGAGTCCAGTCTCTAAATGAGAAGAGTGAAACAGAAAGGCTTAGTTTTTCAGTGTATAGTTTGAGCTCTGTGCATGGTGGCACATGCCTGAAATCCCAGAGGCTCTAGAGGGCGAGGCAGGAGTAGGAGGATTGCAAGTTCAAAGCCAGCCTTAGCAACTTAATCCTAAGCAATTTAGACCCTGTCTCTAAATAAAATATAAAATGAGCTGGGGATATGGCTCAGTGGTTAAGTGCCCCTAGGTTAAATCCTCAGTTAAAAAAAAAAAAGAATTGAATTTCAAATATGTATACATGTGTATAACCATAATGTCTATTAAAACTTAGAAAATTTTTGTAATCTTAGAAAATTCCCATCATCCCAGAGAATTTCTTTCTAGCAACCTCAGTCTTGTAGAACTTCTTTTCTGATTTTTGATTTGCATTTCCCTGATGAATAGTGTTACTGAACATCTTTCATGTGCTTATTGGCCATTTGTGTATCTTCTTCTTTTTTAAAATTTTTATTTTATTTCTTTAGTGGTTGATAGAACTTTATTCATTTATTTTTTTATTTATATGTTGTACTGAGAAACGAACCCAATGCCTCACACATGCTAGCCAAGTGCGCTACCACTGAGCCCCAGCCCTAGCCCCATTTTTGTGTATCTTCTTAGGAGAAATATATTTTCAAATATTTTGTTCATTTTTTTAATTGAGTATTTTTTTTTAATGATTTGTTAAGAGTTCTTCCTATATCTAAATACAAGTTCTTTATAGTTTGCAAATATTTTATCCCCTTTAGTGTGTGGTCTTTTCACTTTCTTTAGATTAGCTAGTAAATTACAAAATGTTTTTATTTTGTCAAATTCCACTTTCTTCTTCTTTTTTTTAATCTTGACACTTATGCTTTTAGAGTCATGTCTAAGAAGGCTTTTCCTATTTCAAAGTTATGAGGATGTACACCTCTATTTTCTTCTATACTATGTTTTTGAACTTTATATAAAGAAACTCGTATCATGCGTACTTTTTTGCAACATTCTTCTTTCATTCAGACTAATGTCTATAAGATTCATTCATGTTGATACATTTATCTCCAGTTTCTTTGTTTTATGGAGAAATATTGGCAATGAATGGATATATCATAAATTGACAGTTTATTTTTCTGAACATTTGTGTTGTTTCTGTCGTTTGGCTATTATGAATAAAATATCTGAACTTGGAACTGCAAGGTTTTTTTTGTTTATGTATATAATTTTGTGTGTGTGTGTATGTGTGTGTGTGTATGTGTGTATTCGCACTTACTGGGCCATATGAACGCAAATTTTAACTTTATAAGGAATTGACAAACAGTTTTTCAAAGTGATTATATGATTTTGTATTTTTTATACTGATTCTTATGAGAGTTATAATAGCTCCCATCCTGCCAACATTTGGTATGATGTCTTTTTCTTTTAGAATTAGAGCCATACCAGTGTGTGGTTTTAACTTGGATTTCTCTGAAGACTAAATAGTTAACTTGGGGGCTTATTAGTCATTTGATTATCTTGTTTTAGAAAGTGTTGGTAAAATCCCTCACCAATTATTGAAAGTGTGGTGTTTACCTTTTTATTAATTTTAAGAGCCCTTCTTATATTTAGAATATAAATAAGTTTTGTCAGATATATATACTGAGAATATTTTTTCTTGGTCTATGTCTTGTTGTTTCATTTTCTTTATTTTTTTAAATTGTACCTTTATTTTATCTATTTTTATGTGTTGCTGAGGATAGAACTAGGGCCTCACATGTCCTAGCCAGGTGCTCTAACCATTGGGCTACAACTTCAGCCCTGGTTTTTTATTTTGTTAATGGAATCATTTGAAGAGCAGATTTTTGTGAAGTCTAATTATTTAATCGACTTTTTTTTAATGATTAGTATCTCCTGTGTCTCATTAACAAATTTCTTCCAATCTCAAGGTTGTGAAGAGGTTTTCTGTATATTTTCTTTAAGAGGGCTTTTAGTTTTAGTTTTTGTATTTAGGCTTATCATCCATTTTGAATAGTATTTGTATATGTGATGTGAGGTAAGGCAAGGGTAACATCCTTAAATAATGTAATGTCTTTATTTGGAATAATATTTTATTTGTTAACTATCATGGTATATGTTATTTCAGTGTTCTTTGAAGGTAAATTGCTTAGCTAACTTCTGTAACCCATCTATGAGTTCACTTGGCATTTCTGTTTATCCAAATAGTTACAGCTCAGCAATCTCTGAGACCTTTTATGTACTCCAAAAGTCTTCCAATTAGGCATTTTTAAAATATGTACATCTATTATACCTCAAACTTAGGTTTAAGTTAGTATCATAATTTCCTTTGAACTATGTGTGTCCCAAATGATGATGGTAATGCGGTTTAACTATTTGGCGTATACCAAACATATAGCCAAGTGAAATGAAGAATTTAGGTCCAGATATTTCAGTGATTTTTTTTTCTGTACTTCATTTAGAAGTCTTTAGAAACATAAAGAAAATTACTTAGTCATACTAATTTTTCCATAAGAAAAATTACGGAATTTCTGAAATAATATATATGGAAAACAGTGTTTAAAGCAAATAAAAATATGGTAATTGATGCTTAATTTGGCTGTAATACATTTTTATGTTTCCAGCAGTAGTTAGGAAATTTTATTTAAATTATTATTGCCATGAAAATATATTAAAATTTTCCTAAAAAGGAGGGAATTTATTTTATATTGGTATATATTTTTTTAATATTTATTTTTTAGGTGTAGATGGATACAACACAATGCCTTTATTTTTATGTGGTGCTAAGGATTGAACCCAGATCCCGCCTGTGCTAGGCGAGCGCTCTACTGCTGAGCCACAATCCCAGCCCCTATTGTGGTATTTTTTTAATATGACATCTAAAACTTGGAAAGTTTTTCAAACTTTTTAAACTGGGATTATAATTTTCAGTTTAATAAAGAGTTAATGTACTTTTTTTCTTTTTCTTTTTTGAGGTGTTGGGGATCCAACACAGGGCGTAATGCAGGCTAGGCAAGTGCTCTATCACTGAGCCATAGCCTCAGCCCACTACTTAATATCTTTTGTACTGAGCTAAATGATTTAAGGAATATAAGCGTGTAGATCCTCCAAGGGTGGTTCTATAACTGCAAAATAGGATTTGACTCGTGTTTTCTCTCTCTCAGTTTTTCTATTTCATAAATTAGTATTGCAAACATTTTTTTGTACCTTAAGCAGATGCCTTTCTGAAAGAGGTACTGGAATTGAGTGGTAGGTAGCCATGTTAAAAAACAAATAGATATATTAGGACCCTTATTATTTGAATTATTTATAATCTACATCTTTATAGTTATAAAGCCACATTTCCAGCCTTCCTTTTTGTATCCTGTGCATATGTAAAGAAAAGATGAGTTATGAGTTATGAGTGATGAGTAATGGACTGTATCTTTGAAATTACCTTAACGCATCTTTCTTTAGAGAATGAGAGCTAAAACAGGGTTAAATACTCAAAGACTGCTGGGGTATTAAAAGTGATGAGATTCCAGTTTCATTTTGGAAGCCTAGTGATGAATAGCAACTATTGACTAGAGTTTGGGAAGAGGGTAAGGATTGTGGAGATTGGGTGAAATCCCTCTTCATCCTTAAAGGAAGACGCTCCTACTTAGTGTATCCTGTTTTTACTGTGCGGGAATATGGACCTGATTCTGATTTCTATTTCTTTTTCAAGAAATATAGTTATAAATAGGCTGTATGTATATACTTTTTGTTTAGGCAGATTAGGTATGAATATGTGAAACAAATAAAAAAGAGACTTGGCTAATTTCTGTGGCTCTGATTACTTTTCTTAAAACCTTGGTCATATTGTAAAACATGAAAGGATTAGTAATTCCATAAAATTTGTTGTACTTCTCCCAAGCATTATTTTTTTCCTTGAAGTCCACCCAACCACTTTTTACATTAGATTTACCCTAATTTGATTTTTAAAAAAAGATTATCTCTCACTACTTTGTTCAGATGCTCTCAAATTCCTGGGCTCAAATTATCGTTTTGCTTCAGCATCCTATGTAGCTGGGACTATAGGCACCTGCCACTGTGCCTGGTTCTCTACTTTGAATTTTTAATGGAAATGAAAGTAAATTACAATGAGACTAATTGCACAAATATTTAACATTATTTGCTGTTTCAAATTTTGAAACTCCTATACCTAGGTAAGAAAAAGATATTGATTATTTTATTGATATCAACCAAAGATTATTGAAATCATGTACATTATTAAAATTATCTTAAAACAATGGTTAAATCATGGTAGTCAAACTCCTAAGTATCATCACTCCTTCACCTAATATCACCGTGAGATGAGATATTCACCAATTTTTAATTATGTTTTAGATTATTAGAGACGGATAGTAAGTCTTTAAGATCTGTAAATGGGTCAAGAAGAAATAGTGGCTCCTCTCTTGTATCAAGTTCATCAGCCTCCAGTAATCTCAGCCACCTTGAAGAAGATTCTTGGATTCTTTGGGGAAGAATTGTTAATGAATGGGAAGATGTGCGCAAAAAGAAGGAAAAACAAGTTAAGGTATTCATGTTTTTTATTGAAGTTTTTTCTCTCACCCCGTAGGGTATCAGGTATGGATTATTAGAGAATTAGAAAAAAAGTCAGATTTTAGTGATTTCCAAGCTCTGTATAGTGAAGAAATCTGCTTTTAATGTTTTCATTTATTTGTGTTTCATGGAATTTTTTTTAAAGTATTCACTGAAAATTTTATTATGTCATTTACATTGTCATATAATTTATAGATACTGTGTTATTCAGTTCTCTTAAAACACTGCAAGAAAAGTAGCCTTTAAAATCCCATTAATAATCGCATTTTACAGTAGAGAGACTGGGGCTTAGCAAGTTTGACTAAGTATCACTAGACAGTGGGTGGCAATACTAGGACCCTAGCCAGGCTCTTATTTTAAGTGATTGCAACACTAAAATAAGATAATTGGAAGTCATAGTATCAACTATGTGTTATTACTTTAATATTTAAATACCATTTTCATATTTTCTTAGCTCAAAGGAGTAATTTTGTTCCCCCAAATATTCCAATTCTTCATGAAATTTTTACATGTAGGCATCAGTTGTTATAGAGGTGCTGAAAATGGAAATATATAGCTGAAAATTTTTTAGAAGTTAAATTCTCTCATTTTATTATAATTTTTGTACTTGGAATTGAACCCAGGACTTCATGCATAAGCAATCTATCACTAATCTAAACCTCTGGCCCCTTTTATTTTATTTTGAGACAAGATCTCCTTAAGTTGCCCTGGTTGGCCTCAAAGTTGTGATACTCCTGCCTCAGTTTCTCAAGTAGCTGGAATTACAGGTGTGTGCTCATGTCCAGCCAAATTCTCTCATTTTATAGATGCAGAAATGAAGTTGTGACATCATGCATTCTTGAATTAGCAGTATTTTTCTTTTCTGCTTTCAATAGCAGTTCTAAATGTGATGGGTATGATACCATCATTCATAGCTCTGCAGGCTGTCAAGTCTAAATACTTTTAGAGGTAGAATTCTTGGTGAAATGGCCAGAATTTATGCATGGCTTTGTAGCACATCCTCTCCCCATAACAAGAAAAGGATATACCCAAGAGCAAAATCTTATCCTTGGTTAAAAAGTTTCCCAGTTTATTTTAAAACCAGCTACGTGAATTGATAAAAATTTCCACTCTACTCCAACCATCCCTCACCCACCAAATAAGTCTTCTTTGGCTTGCAAATGTGAGACTTATTAAATAATTCAGATTTAAAATTTTACTTTTCATTTTTAGGAACTTGTTCGTAAAGGAATACCCCACCATTTTAGAGCGATAGTTTGGCAACTTTTATGCAGTGCACAAAGTATGCCAATTAAGGATCAGTATTCAGAACTCCTGAAAATGACCTCACCTTGTGAAAAACTGATCCGGAGGGACATTGCTAGAACTTATCCTGAACATAATTTTTTTAAGGAAAAAGATAGCCTTGGACAGGAGGTTCTATTCAATGTGATGAAGGTAAGTTCTGTTTGTTCATTTTTTAAATGAAATGAATTCTCAAAAAGTTGAAATTATACATTTCCCATGATAAAGCATGAAATTCCACATAATCAGTTGCTTTGGCAACAAAACTGATTTTAGCATAATTTCTACTGTAACTTTGCTGCTACATTACTGTTTAACTTAGAGAACTTATTAGAAAATTTATCACATTAGTTGAAAATTCATTCACATTACTTGGCAGGAAATAAAGTAACATATTAATAATTACTCTTCTCCAACCTACTCAGAGAGAGATCCTTTATGAAAATGGACAGTTCACTTTATGTGAGGTTCATAGTCTAGGATTCAGTTTTCTCCCAACATGGCTGCATTCATGTCAGCAAATTTTTCTGTTTGCAGTGGCTTGAATTGTTAAGGGTTCTTAATAAAGATTTTACCTAATTTTTTTCTTCAACATTGCCTTTTCCCTTCCCTTAGATTCTTTTTATTCCAGCTATCTTTACGAAACACTTGATTTCTTGTTAAATCATTTTAATTTTGCTTAAGCTTTATCATAACCCTACTCTAATTTTATCTTAATCAGATACAACTTTTAGTTGATTTTTAAAGCTCTGTTACCTTACTGAGTACACATTCCCTTTTTTCCTTCATCCTTACCAGCTGTTGCTTTCTAATTGGAAATAGTCAAATGAAAATTTTATGTAATAAAACATTTGCTCTTAAAATATTTATAGGATAACATCTACAACAAGTAAACAATATTTTTTTCTTTAAAAAAATTGACTTTTAATCAACTCTTTCACCAATTTCAGGTTTTGGGAGAAGGAAGGTCTAATATACCATGTCAAAATATTTTGAACACCATATTTTACTTTTTAGGCATATTCTTTAGTGGATCGTGAGGTTGGTTACTGTCAAGGAAGTGCTTTTATAGTTGGATTATTGCTTATGCAGGTAAGTTAATACAAGAATTAAATGTCTAATTAAGTTCTTTATTAAGGTTGGATTGGAGGGTTTAAAAAGCATTATTTTTATTAAGTATAAGTGAACATTCAGTATTTTTCCCTAAAGTCTAATTTGAATAATAATATTTTAGTTTGTACTTTGAAAGATGAAAAGTGTTGAAATGATATATAATAGTGTCTTTCATCAAATGATATTTTTTAAGGGTGTTTTAAAAAAATCTTTATTTATTTAATTTATTTTTTATGTGGTGCTGAGGATCAAACCCAGTACCTCACAAGTTCGAGGCAAGTGCTCTACCGCTGAGCTATAACCCCAGCCCCTCAAATGATATTTTAACAATTTTTTCTTTTTTTTGTGGTGCTAGGGATTGCCTACTCTGTACCCATTGACCCATATGCCCCACCCCTGAACTTCTTGATGCATACAGTTATAATGTTCTACCAAAACCTGTATCTACTTTTAAGTCTTGTCAACATTTAATGGGGAGTAAGGATATGAATAAAATGATGACATGAAGTTCTTATCTATGTTGTTTGACATCTTTGAAAATGTATATAGCAATTTTATATATCATGGACCTGCAGTCTTATTATGTACATCTTGCCAAAAGCTCTAAAATAGTGTTACTCAACTACTTTTACTGTTCCAGGGATATAGCATTGACAGTGACTTATTTGGGGAATGGTTTGGATGGGATATTTTCAGAATTTAGGGACGGGACGATCATAACCTTGAGAAGAAATGGCATAATAGTGTTATCTCTTTAGCTTTTTTGGTATATATTTATTTCATTTATTTATTTTTAAGATATCCATCTTTACTCTTTACTCCTGGGAAGGAACTTTGGAGATAACTTGATTTGAATCATGTAGGCTGCATTTTGCATCTTAGTTCTACAGTAGATCTATGAACTTGGGATAGATTATTTAAACTCTGAATCTTTTTTTTTTTTTAAAGAGAGAGAGAGAGAGAGAGAGAGAGAGAGAGAGAGAGAGAGAGAGAGAGAGAGAGAGAATTTTTTAATATTTATTTTTYAGTTTTCGGCGGACACAACATCTTTGTTTGTATGTGGTGCTGAGGATCGAMCCCGGGCTGCATGCATGCCAGGCGAGCACGCTACCGCTTGAGCCACATCCCCGGCCCCAAACCTCTGAATCTTATTTAAATCATATTATCTATGTTCAGATTCTTCATGAGGGTCATATGAAATATTATATATAGAAGTCCTGCTTGGTGTTTGGCATTTAGAAGACATGCAGTAAAGGTTCAATGACTTGCCCCAAATCACACATCTTGATAGATAGAAGCAGAGCAGGAGTGAGAAGTTCTTTTTTCCTGATACTTTAATTTTCTAGCTCTTTAATTTACCTGATTTTTAAAGCTTTGTGTCAGAAATGTACATACACACACACAAACACATACCCACACACACACATAGACCCTACCTCATTCTCTCTCGGGCTGTGTATAGAACACAGGGTCTTGTGCATACTAAGCATATGTTCTACTACATCATGCTATGCTTCCAGCTTATGTCTTTTCTGAGTAGCATAAACCTGGTGTCTGAGATACTAAGTTGACAATCAAATTGACTTATTTGTATATTGTATTATAACATAAAAACTGATTCTAGTGATTATTACAGGATTTTTGTCCATTTCTAGGTGAAACTTAGTTATAATTAATATAATACAAAACTAAGTATGTTAATGTTGAGGGTGTAGATGTTCCACAAAGTTGTGACTGTCTTCATTTGTAACTGGTCAATATTGGTAGGTCTTTCAGCATTGAACTCAACCATCCTTATCCTTTTGCTTTTATATCAGCTCCAGAGTAATCCTTTATTATCTGAACATAGATAATATTATTTAATTTAGATTCTGAGGTTAAATAATCTTGCCCAAGTTCATAGATCTACTGAAGAACTGAGATGCAAAGCCTAGTTTACACAATTCAAATCAAGTTATCTCCAAGGTTCCTTTCCAGGAGTAAACTTCTGAGACTAAAGAATAAGGTAGACGTCTTAAAAATAAATAAATGAAATAAATATATATCAATAAAGCTAAAGAAATAACATTACTATGCCATTTCTTTTCAAGGTTATGATCATCCTGCCCCATTTCTAATCCTTTAGTAGTCAGCTCTACTGAGTGTCTACAGAGCAATTTTTCCCTACTTGAGGTCTGAGTGTCAAAAGAGCTGCCTAGCTCTTTAGGAGCCCTAAGGAGCTAACCACACTTTCCTTCAAGGTGCTGAAGACAATGGTGATAGTGATATGAGCATGGCACCACAATTGAAGTCATCAGTGGCGTTTTAGCTGTTTTTGTCAGTGGCAGGCAGTGTGCCACTACAACAATAATCTCTTAATAGCCCAGGGCCACAAGGTAAAAAGTGTGGTGGATCCAGATTGAAAAACCCCCCTCTTTGATTCTAAAGTTTATGCTTTTATATTTCTAGTATGTAGTGTTTCCCACAACTTCAGTATAGCAGTGTAACTCAGAGAGTCTGATAAAATTTATAAAGTTAGTACAGGTGTAAAAGTGGTTTAAAGTGCTAGATATATTTTTTGTGTTTATCTTAACACTCTTGTAAAATTAGGTATATTATACGCGTTAGACCTTTGCAAAAGACATGTTGTCTTATCAGCTCAATCATAGAGAAAGTATGCAGCACCACATTGCTCTAGGACTCTGTTGTCATGATTTCTTTCTAATGGAAAGGAATGACTAAAAAACAGCTGGGTGGTGATTCTTCATATTTATAAGTGTCATGGAGTCTCATATCTTTTCATTTTGTCACAGGACCCAGTGATACTTTTTGCTACCTCCTTTTGTTCTTTTGTCAAATCATCCTACCTTATGTTTAAAATATCACCATTTAAAAAAATCAAAAAACTCTCTCCCAGTTCTCATATCAGTGCTCTTTCAAAGGGGAGAGGGAATGAAGGTTTTTGGAACATCAGAAGGGAAGAGACTCTTGTAAGAGATAAAAGGGAGATTAATTGATTCATTCCTACTATGATTGGACCAAGGATTGAGGAGAAGGTGTATCACAACACATGACTAAACTGGTCAGGGTCACTCCAAGTGAATTTGGGCTGACTAAATAAAGACACAGATATAGAAAGTACCTTTTTGGGTTCAGTGACCACTCCTCAGCCACATCTCCCACAAGTGAGGGTGGGCGGAGAGGGGGAGGGGGGCAAGGCAAGCAAGAAAGAGAGGGAACATGCCTCGAACCTGGGTTTCATTGGGGAGAAGCCATTCAAATGAGGCAAGGAGTCAGGTTTCAGAAGGTTGAGTCTAGCTTCATGATGTCTTTCTGTCAGCAGATTGACTGACATCTTGGAAGGTCATGCCCATCTCATGTGCTGTGTGGGGATCATAGGAAGAACAAGTGAAAAGGACACATATGTCGCCAGCCCAAACAGAGAGAGAGAGGCAATGTCAGACCAGTCCACTTATGTGTTCAGTGCTCATAGTACACACTCACATAGCCCATGGCTGGCTCACCACAAAAGTGGAAAGAGGAAGGTATGATAGGAAATGAGAAATAGAGATTAGAGATCATATCATGTAGAATCTTGTAAGGATTTTGGCTTTTATTGAGGATATGGGGAACTATCAGAGTTTTTGAGCAGTAGAATGTAATGTTCTAATCATGCCTTGAAAGTGTCACTGGCATTATTTTGTATAAAGAATGGACCCCTGGAAAGGAAGTACAAGGAAGGCAGCAAAGTGACCATTTAGAAAGCATTTGAAACAGTTCAGATGGTAGACTACTCTCTTTGTGGTGGTTTGGGCTAGGTGTTGCTGGTAAGAATAGGTTGATTTTTGATATTGAATATAGAACCAGTAAAATTTGCTGATAGACTGGTTGTAGAATCAGGAAGGAAAAAGTCAGTGATGACCCCTAAGGTTTTTGAGCAGAAATTCGTTGTATCCAGGAATGTCAGGGTAGGAAATTAGATGAGCAGTTTGAGATATATGTTGGACTCCAAATGAGATGTTAAATGAGCAGTTGGAACTATAGGACAGGATTTGGGGAAAGGTCCAGGATAATAGATACTAGGGACCAGAGGCTGTAAAAATGGTTACAGATGCAAGTGGGGTGATAGAAGGGAAAGTTCTTTTCTTTTTCCTTTTTTAAATATATTTTTTAGTTGTAGACATAGTACCTTTATTTTATTTATTTATTTTTATGTGATACTGAGGCTCAAACCTAGTACCTTACACATGCTAGCCAAGTGCTCTACCACTGAGAGCTACAACTCCAGCATTCTCTTCTGATTACTTACTTACTTTTTTTTTTKGGGGGGGGTACTGGGGATTGAACTTGGGGGCACTTAACCACTGAACCACGTCCCCAGACCTTTTTTATATTTTATTTTGAGATATGATCTCACTGAGTTGCTTAGAGCTCACTAAGTTGCTGAGGCTGGCTTTGGATTCACGGTCCTCCTGTCTCAGCCTCTGGAGCTACTGGGATTACAGGCGTGCACCACCATGCCTGGATAAATTTTTGTTTTTATTTTTTCACAGCCACTTTGTGCTATTTAGATACAGGTATCGAGTTGAATTTATATAAGAAGGAAGTTTTTCCAGTTGGAAGTATAACGGAGATGAAAAAAAGTAATTATGGATTTAAGCAAGTGAATAAATATAATAAAATATGTAGCAAAGTGAGCACAGCAGAGTTGGGAATAGGAAGAAGGAAGTATAGCCTGATAAGGTCAATAAATTGTTAAGTGCGCTCTCGCTCTCTCTCTCTCTCTCTCTCTCTCTCTCTCTCTCTCTCTCTCTCTCACACACACACACACACACACACACACACACACACGTTTGTTTTAATACCTTTATTTATTTATTTTTATGTGATGCTGAGGATCAAACTCAGGACCTTGCACATGCTAGGCGAGCACTCTACCACTGAGCCACAACCCCAGCCCCAAGTACTTTATGTTAGTCTTCATTGCAACCCTGTGAAATAAGTGCTATTATTTTACCCATTTGATAGGTGGTGAAACAGAGCAACAGAGAGATCAAATAATTTGTTCAAGATTACATAGCTATTAAAGTGGAGAAAATAAGATTTCTATTAAATGAAGAAACTGAGATTCAACCTTTGCCATGACTTTAGAGCTTGAGCTAGTAACTGCCTGCCAGGCTTATTGGAGGAAAGGAAGTCAAAGATCCACTAGGCCAGGGAAGTGATCTTCATGAAAATGACAAGGGAGTTGTGGGGAGGGTGGCCCAGAACTTTGTAGATGCTGGGGTGGGGTGGGGTGGGAGCCTTAATGGGTAAAATCTGTTAGCATGTGTTTCAGAGAACAGGGAAGGTTAATGTTGTGGAAATGGCTGTGAGGTGAAAGGAGGAACATATGTCTTACCTAACCCCTGGCAGAGAAAATAACCACCCTGGGGGAGAGCCAGATTTTTAGCTAAAGGAAGGGAAGAATATTTGCAAAAGAAATTGAGGGTATAGGTAGAAGATTGGAAATGGGGTCAGATTAGGGGAACAGTAGAATTATATAGGATTAAAAGTTCTGGAATCTTGGGCTTCTTGTAGTGACTGACATAAATCAATGATGTTGTAGAGCTTGATGAGATTAATAGGGATGGTCTCCAGGGCAGAATCGTGGCTGTGTTGGCAGGAAGGAAGAAAGTGTGTGTGGGTTTTACCAAAGGCAATTTGGTTTCTATCCATGGCTATGTCAAGGCAGAAAAAGTATATTGTTAGTTGCAACATCTTCAATAAGTTGAATGCCTAGAGATTCTTCAGGTTGTTCTCTTTGAAACACACTGGTATAATGTGAGTGAATGAGAAAATTAGCAAATTTTATTATTTTGAGAAAGATGGCTTAACAATTTGCATAATGTTATTACCTAAATAGTTTGAATGTCTTTGTAACTTCTTAAAGATTTCACACACATCTTCTTTGATATGATTTCTTAGTTATTTACAATCAAAATGTTTAATTGATAGTTTTAAACTCCAATTACAGATAATTTGAAAACTAATTTCATAAGTTCTTTAAACATTTATGTTATATAACTTCTCAGAATTCTCAGGGCTTTCCATTTCACTTAAGGTCAAATTCAAAAATCATACAATGGTATCTAAAACCTTTGATGTTATTTCTTCTCCATAATCTAACCTGCACTCAAAATGACTTCTTCATTGTTGTTGTTTTGCTGTACTGCAATTGAACCCAGTGGCTCTCTACTACTGAGCTGTATCCTGAGCCCTTTTTATTTTATTTTGAGACAGGTCATGCTAAGTTGTCCAGGCTGCCCTTGAACATGCAATCCTTCTATCTCAGTTTTTTTTAATATTTATTTTTTAGTTGTAGTTGGACACAATACCTTTATTTTAATTATTTATTTTTATGTGGTGCTGAGGATTAAACTGGTGCCTCACATGTGCCAGGTGAGCACTATACTGCTGAGCCACAACCCCAGCCCCGGTTTTTTTTTTTTTAAAGCAATATCAGTTTAATCTGATCACATTATTTTCTCATTCTTTAATTTGGCATCTGCCAAGTACTACTTCTTCCTTTTTTAAATATTCTTTAGTTGTCAATGGGTCTTTATTTCATTTATTTATATATGGTGCTGAGAATTGAACCCAGTGCCTCACACATGTTAGGCAAGCGCTCTACCACTGAGCCAAACCCAAGCCCCCCAACTACTTCTTGTATAGATTTTACTTTCTTGAAGTAGTAACTAATCTTGAAGTTACTACTAAAATAGTTACTACTAACTTAGTTACTACTAAACTAGAAGTTTCCTGTTTGCAGTTCTGTGAGTATGCTGACCTGACTCCCTCTCAGGGCTGTTGTTCTCTTCTGTCTTCTGGGACTATTTTTACCTCAGATTCTTCCCTCACTTTCTTCAGCATTTTTCTCAAATGTTCCCTTATCAAGGGACCTTCCCTGTCCTACATAAATATTAATGTGTCTCCTCAACATTCCCTCTTACCTACTATATTTTCATTTCATTCATTGCCATTGCCATTTGACAAATATATGAATTAATTTATTACATGTGTTGTTTATTTCCCCCTACTATAAAGTTCAGGCTCCTTGAGAGTAGATATTATGTGGTGTTTTTGTTTGTTGGTTTGGTTTGGTTTGGTATTTGGGATTTAACCCAGGTGCACTTAGCTACTGAACTACATCCCCAGCCCTTTTTATTTTAAGGCAGGGCCTTGCTGAGTTGCTGCGGCTGGCTTCGAACTTGCAATCCTGCTGCCTCAGCCTTCCAAGTTGCTGGGATTATGGACTTGCACCACCACAATCAGTTGAGATTATGTTTTTTTTTTTCATTGGTAGATCCTCAGAAAAAGAAAAGTATCCAACTCTAAATGAATATTATTGGTTGAATTAATGAATTAGGCCATTTAAGGCAGTTAGTCTTAAAGGTTAAAAGACTTCTTTAACTTTACATTCTTAGAATGAGAACTTAGGACATCCTGATTTTTTAAAAAATCCTGTTTCTTTCTTTTTTAAATATCTTTATTTTATTTTTATGTGGTGTTGAGGATCGAACCCAGCACCTCGCACATGCCAGGCGAGCACGCTACCGCTTGAGCCACATCCTCAGCCCAGGACATCCTGATTTTTACTAATCTATTGCTCTTGAGTGCAATATGTAGCCTCTCAAAACAGTGTTTATGATTGGATGGGTACTTGTTTTAAATATAATTTGATTTATTTGTGCATCATAGAATATTAACCTGTGTTATTTTCATCTACTAATGTAGATGCCAGAAGAAGAAGCTTTCTGTGTATTTGTTAAATTAATGCAAGATTATAGACTTCGTGAACTTTTTAAACCAAGTATGGCAGAATTGGGCCTTTGTATGTACCAGTTTGAATGCATGATACAGGTAAAAGTACAATTTTATGTTTGTTATCATCTCTGAGTGACATCTTTACAAATTTAATGTTAAAAGCATTAAAACAATTGAAAAAAATCAGTGCTTTTAATTGATAGGTAAATTACAGTTTGAAACTAGATAGCAGAGGTATTCTACCACTGAGCTATAGCCCTAACCCTTTTTACTTGTTATTTTGAGATATAGGGTATTGTGGTTTGCCCAGGTTTACCTCAAACTTATAATCTTCCTGTCTCAACCTCCCAATTAGATGGGATTACAGGTGTGCATCACTATGCCTGGCTTCCAGTTTTTTGGAAATAGAGTTGACAAAAAAGCAACTATGTACCCACCAACAAGCTTAAATGAATACAAACATTGCATCACATGGATACTCAATAGTATCTGAGATAGGATGGGTATTTGGTTTAAATTAATTTGGCTATAATTTAGTTTTATTATTAATAAGTCAGATGTTATAGATATCCCCAAAGTTTCAACTCTGCATCCTTTCCCCCTTCATCCCTTCTCATATAGTATCTATCATTCTGAATGTGTCAATTTCTACATCTCAGCTTTTCTTTAAAAAAAAAACAGCACATCCCATTTTTATTGATAAACAATGTTAGGATACATTTTGACATGATCATAAAAACATTGAATATAAATTGTTGTAATTCAGTCCCCAGCATTTTCTCCCCTTCCCTCTATTCCCATCTCTCTACTCTATTGGTCTTTCTGCAATTATATTTTTTAAATTAATATATTATACATATATTTGATATTGGGATTCACTGTGATATATTCATATATGTGTGTGTGTGTGTGTGTGTGTGTGTATGTATGAAAATTTGTCCAAATTCAGACTACTGTTCTTCCCCTATCCTGTTCCTTCTTCTTTCCCCTCAAAGACCTTCCTCTACTCTACAAATTTTTCCTCTTTTTAAATTTTTTTATTTTTATCTTTTAAAGAGAGGAGAGAGGAGAGAGGAGAGAGGAGAGAGAGAGAGAGAGAGAGAGAGAGAGAGAGAGAGAGAGAGAGAATTTTTAAAATTTATTTTTCAGTTTTCAGTGGACACAATACCTTTTTATTTTATTTTTATATGGTGCTGAGGATCGAACCCAGCGTCCCGTGCATGCCAGGAGAGCGCATTACTGCTTGAGCCACATCCCCAGCCCTTTTTCCTTTCTTTTGATGAAATTATCTCTCCTTCCCCCCCCCCCTTTCTCTCCCTTCCCTTCACTGCCCTATTTTGGATATCAGAGAAAACATTCAACCTTTGACTTTTTGGATTGGCTTAATTAACTTGATAGTCTCCAGATCCATCCATTTACCAGCAAATGTCATAATTTCATTCCTTTATTTTAATCAGTTGTATATGACAGCAGAATGCTCTTCAATTAATTTTACACAAATGGAGCACAATTTTTCACGTCTTTGGTTGTACACAAAATAGGGTCACACCATTTGTGCAATCATACATGTACCTAGGATAACGATGACTGTCTCATTCCACAGTCTTCCCATGCCCCCTCCCCTCTCCTACCTCCCCTTTGGCCAATCCAAAGTTCCTCCACTCATTCTAACCCCTCTCCCCCGCATTATGGTTTAGCATCCACTTATCAGAGAAAACATTTAGCCTTTGGGTTTTGGGGATTGGCTTACTTTGCTTAGCATTATATTTTCTAATTCCATCCATTTACCTGCAAATGCCATAATTTTATTCTCTTTTATTGCTGAGTAATATTCATATATATACACCACAGTTTCTTTATCCATTCATCTTTTGAAGGGCATCTAGGTTGGTTCCACAGTTTGGCTATTGTGAATTGTGCTGCTATAAACATTGATGTGGCTGCATCACGGAGTCCTTTGGATATGGACTCAATGAGTGGGATAGCTGGGTCAAATGGTGGTTCCATTCCAAGTTTTCCAAGGAATCTCTATACTGCTTTCCAGACTGGCTGCACCAATTTGCAGTCCCACTAGCAATATATGAGTGTGTCTTTTCCCCCACATCCTCGCCAACACTTATTATTGTCTGTATTCTTGATAACTGCCATTCTGACTGGGGGGATATTAAACTTTAGAGTAGTTTTGATTTGCATTTCTGTAATTACTAGACATCTCTGCTTTTTTACATTATGCTTGACCTGATCTTTGTGTGTGGTATAGGTTAATCTTTTATATAAACTAAACCAGTATAATCTAGTATAAATACAATAATCTGACTTAAAACACTCAATTTTACTATGTTTTAATTTTACTTTGTTTTCTTCTCTTTAGGAGCATCTTCCAGAGCTCTTTGTACACTTTCAGTCTCAGAGTTTTCATACCTCAATGTATGCATCATCCTGGTTTCTGACTATCTTTCTTACAACTTTTCCATTACCAATTGCAACACGGATATTTGATATCTTTATGTCTGAGGTAAGCTAATTGGCAGACTAGCAGCAAGAGCTGAGCAAAGGAGTCATTGGGTTAATTAGAGCAGGGAAGAGAGGGGAGCAATAAAAGAGCTCATGTGTTCCTTGCTCAACTGCTTCTGTGGATAATCTAATTTAAACCATAATCAGGTGGATCCTGTTACTATCCCTATTTGTTAGATGGTAGATGAGAAAACAGAGTTAGAGAAAGGTTAAATAGCTAGTCTGTCTAAGCTGGGTGTGGTAGCACAAAACTATGATCCCAGTGACTTGGGAGGCTAAGGCAGTAGAATCACAAGTTGAAGGCCAGTCTCAGCAACTTAGTGAGGCCCTAAGCAACTTAGAGAGGCCTTATCTCAAAATAAAAAAATTAGAAAACAAAATAAAATTAGGGCTATCCCCCAATACCAAAAAAAAAAAAAAAAAAAAAAAAAAAAAGGTAGCTTGTCTATAGACCCACACATACATGTATAGTAACTAGGTTCAGACAGAGACAGTTAAATTGTGGAATCTACTTTCTTAATCAAACCTGTTTCTCATTTCCTAACTGATTTATTGAAAATTAGTGAAAGGTAAGATCTACCTTACAGGTAATATTGTTGTAGTGTATCTATTATCCAAACAGCTAGAAATAATTGGTATAATTTTCTTCTATTCTGTGAACATATTGCAAATTGTCTTTTAAGTGTGAGTGACACGTAATGATCCTTTGTCTTCTGTTTTCTGAACCCAAAGTTAATTGTTATTAGTTACATCTTGGGGAGATCAATTTGTATTTCCTATCAAACTACGGTTCAGCCACTGATCTGTTGTAGTTTGCATGTAAATCTCCCCTTACACCTGTTTTTGAGAGTAAAGTTTTCTGGGAATGCAGCTCTGCTCATTTATGTGTTGTCTATGTCTGCTTTTGGGCTACAGTGGCAAAGCTGAATAGTTGTGGCAGAGGCCCACCAAATGTCAAGTATTTGCTGTCTGACTCTTAACTGAAAAGGTTTGCTAGTCCCTAGTTTAGAACACTGAATATTTACTTTAGTATTATTTTGATTTAGTTTTTGTTGATGACAAAGTTAAAACAAATTTGGCTTTATTTAATTTATTTCATCAGGGTTTAGAAATAGTGTTTCGAATAGGAGTAGCACTTCTTCAAATGAATCAGGCAGAATTAATGCAACTTGACATGGAAGGAATGTTACAGGTAAGTCAGTTCATGATTTCTTGTATATCTTTAGATTTAACTATTAAACAATAATAAATGGCACTTACTGGTTCTTATGTTTTTATTTTACTATATTTTAGCACTTTCAGAAGGTCATTCCACATCAGTTTGATGGTAGTCCAGATAAACTAATCCAAGCAGCTTACCAAGTCAAATACAACTCAAAAAAAATGAAAAAGTAAGTATTTTATATTTTCTGTTTTAGTTATAAGAGTTTGTTGAAGCATATAGGATATTTAGTGAAAATAACAAAACATTCTAGTGATAATTACATTTTTCCTCCTTAGATGATAGAACTGTATGGTTTTAATTGGTGGTATTAACAGTGGTTTCAATATCAAAGTTAATGTTGGAATGTCACACTACTTTTAATAGTTGTATATAGGACCTCTTGTACTACCTTTAAACTCTTGTTATTCCTTGTATTTTGACTGGAGTTATGAGCCTGGTACATGTATATGTGTGAATGTACAGTTATTATTAATATTTACTATTATTATTTTGGTGATGGGGATTGAACCCATGGCCTTGTATGTGCTAAGTGTGTGCTATACCACTGAGCTGCACCTTAGCCTAATGTGCTATTATTTTAAAACCACTTCAGTGGTGTCGTTCCATTTATTGACATTCTTTTCCCTTCAGTTTCCCCAAAATGTCACTTAAGTCCATGAGTAGCATAGCCAGAAAGATAGATGATGAATTGAGAATTTAAAATTTTATGTGTTGTATGTTACCTTCTTTATGTGTGTGGTGTGTTTGTTGCTTTCTTTCTTTTTTTTTTTTTTTAGTTGTGCATTGGCACAATATATTTATCTATTTTTGTGTGGTACTAAAGATCGAACCCAGTGCCCCACACATGTGAGGCAAGTGCTCTACCACTGAGCTACAGCCCCAGCCCAGGATGTTACTTTCTAATGAAGCTTTTTGGGTATCTATTATAAAAGTTTAAGATAAACATTCTTGGCTCATTTTGTTTTTTTGTTTTTATTAGAAATAGGGTAAGTGTATTAATTAAGAATGATAGCTTTATTTTTCCAGCTTCTAGTACTTAAATGATTTTTAACCTGAGGTCATAGTAGGCATTCTTTTTTTGTGGGAGGCGGATACTGGGGATTGAACTCAGGGACACTCAACCACTGAGCCACATCCCAGCTCTTTTTTGTATTTTATTTAGAGACAGGATCTCACTGAGTTGATTAACACCTTAGCAAAAGCTTTGAATTCTTGATCCTCCTGCATCAGCCTCCTGAGCTGCTGGGATCGTAGGCATGTGCCCTTGTGCCCCGAATATGGTATGCATTTGTGCATTCTTGACACAGTAATTTTTATGGTATAGAATGCTTTAAAATAGGGAAGGAGAAAGAGAGGTACTAGAGTCTGAATTAGAATAAGATGTATTTCATGCTTATGTAATTATGTCAAAATGGATTCTACTGTATGTATAACTAAAAGAACCAATAAAAATAATAGTAATTTCATATGCAGTTATTATCTTTTCTCTGCAACATGAAATTATATTCTGATTTACAACATACACCCTGAATGTTTCTTTTTTTTTAAGACAGAGAGAGAGAGAGAGAGAGAATTTTTTAATATTTATTTTTCAGTTTTCAGTGGACACAACATCTTTACTCAGCCCCTCCCTGAATGTTTCTACTCTAGAAAGTATATTAGAATATGAGTGAGAATAATATTTCTAAAATTCATTATCTCTAATTGACAAAAGCCAGCCAATTCATGAGTTTCAACTCTTTTTATTTGAAATTACCTGTGACATTTTTTAAAAATATTTTTTTAGTTGTTGATAGTCCTTTATTTTATTTATTTATATGTGGCGCTGAGAATCAAACCCAATGCCTCACACATGCCAGGCAAGTACGCTACCGCTGAGCCATAGCTCCAGTCCTACCTGTGACATTTTTAGTAACCACCATCATAACAGAGAAATAGACCAAAAGGCTACTTTGTTCTATAACAGTTAATATCTTAAGGAGTCATCTTGATTTTGCCTCTTGATAAAACTACATTTAAATCACATTAGTCAAAAAGATTATTTTACTTTAAAAATATGATAGAGAATGAAGTTTTATCTGGGTGCTGTGGTATGTACCTGTAGTTCCATCTACTCTGGAGGCTGAGGCAGGATAATTACTGGAACCCAGAAGTTCAGGCCAACCTTTGCGACATAGCAAGGTTACATCTGAAGAAAAGAAGGAAAGCTTAAGATGAGAATCTTTAGTCTTCCTGGTAACTGAATCTCTTTTTAGAATTTATCATCCATATAGTCCATTTCTAAAATTTCAGCTATCCAACTTCTGACCCTCTAGTTCTTTCACTCCCTTACTCACAAATCCCTGTTGTGCTTTATCAGTAAACACAATGGAATATTACTTGTCAATAAAAGAGAATAAAATCATGGCATCTGCAGATAAATGGATGGAGTTGGAGAAGATAATACTAAGTGAAGTTAGCCGATTCCCAAAAAACAAATGCTGAATGTTTTCTCTGATATAAGGAGGCTGACTCATAGTGGGGTAGGGACCGGGAGCATGGGAAGAATAGACTAACTCTAGATAGGGCAGAGGAGTGGGAGGGGAAGGGAAGGGGGCATGGGGTTAGAAATAATGGTGGAATGTGATGGACATCATTATCCAAAGGACATATATGAAGACACGAATTGGTGTGAATATACCTTATATACAACCAGAGATATGAAAAATTGTGCTCTATATGTGTAATATGAATTGTAATGCATTCCGCTGTCATATATTATAAAAATCAATTAAAAAAACTTGCTAAAAAAAAAGATCCCTATCTGATGTTCAGTATCCTCTTACCTGAATAAATATACCACCTTTACCCTTATTGCGGTCTATATTTAAATAGCCAAGTGTTATTGCATAGTTTGATTGCTGACAACTGTTTCCACTGCTTCTACATGCATATTTATATTGACTTTAATTTTTCCACTTACCACAGTAGTTATTTCAAACCATACCATTCTTCCCAAGTTCTCATCCCACTTCATACCTCTTAGTAAATTCCCTTACTGTTAATTCATCCACCATCATTTTCAAAATTTCTGTCATTTCCCTGATAGACTTAGCTATATTCCTTTCATCCTTTTTCAAAATACAGTTTTTTTTATTTCTTTATGATGTTGATTCAGAATACAAGGTATTGTTTATTCATTCCCATCTTTTTTCAGGCTCTTGTCCTATTAATTATTATTTCTGTCTTTTCTCTTCAACTCTTTTTCTTTCAATTTTATTTTCTTCAATCAAGAAGGTAATTTTGAGTTGTGGTTTATAAGTTAAAAAAAAAACCTTCCTCAATATAGTATTTCATTCTTCTTTTATGAAGCTTAACTGTGAGGAAAAAAAATAGTTTTTACTCATTAGCTTTAGATCATATTTCATCTGACTTTTCAATTGAGAAGCACACAGAAATATGGATTAGAATAATAAACATGCATATGCTTATCTTCTAGAATTAACAGTTGTTAATATTTTGCCATATTTACTTTTTTCTTAGATATTTCAAAGTAAATTATAGAAATCTTGAATACTTTATTTCCTAATGCTTTAGTATTGATCACTATAAAATTAAGGTATTTGTTTCTTTACCACTTAACAAGAATTCTATAATATTGCTGAATATCCAATCTAAGTTCACATTTTCCTAGTTGTGCCAAAAATGTCTTTTGCCATCTGTTATAGTACATTTAATTATTCACTCAGATCTCTTCTTCTCCTCTTGTGATTCTCTCCAGAACCTAGGGCCTCCTACATCCTAGGCAAGTATTCTACCACTGACTCACATCCTAACCTTGAAACCATTTTTAACCCTTTGTGCTTAACCGTACTCTTCCAATAAAACTATTCCTTTTGAATTTTTCCTTTTTATTCATTCTTTCAAGAAGTACCTCTTGAGCTGGGTGAGGTTGCATATACCTGTAATTCCAGCAACTTGGAAGGAGATGGGAAGATTACACATTAGAGACCAGCCCCAGCAACTCAGTGAGTCCTTGTTTCAAAAAAAAAAAAAAGGCTGGCATATAGCTGAATGGTAAAAGGTCCCTGGGGTCAATTCCCACTGCCAGGAAAAAACAAAAACAAAAACAACTTCTTGAGTACCTAGTAGTTGCTAATATTGTTCCAGTTTTCAGAAATGAAATTTTAGATTTGCTCATAAAGCTTTCATTCTGTGTGGCAAGGCAGAAATTAAAAGGAATTACATATGAGGTGGTGATAAGTTTTTGAAGAAAGACAGTCTGGTTAAAGAAATCAGAGAATGATAAGTGAGTGACATCCTTTTTTATTTTAATTTAATTTTTGCATATTTTTATTGGTGCATTATACATAATAGTAGGATTCATTGTTACATATTTATGTGCACACACCATGTAACAGTATAATTTGGTCAGTATAATTTCCCAGTATTTCTCCTTTCTATTCCTTTTTTCCTCCCCCTGGTCTCTTTCTTTGTACTGATCTTCCTTTGATTTTTTTTTTGAGGCCACTCCCCCACACCTTTATTCTCCTTTTCATTTCTAGTTTCCATATATGAGAGAAAACATAACCTTTGACTTTCTGAGGTTGGATTATTTCCCTTAACATAATGTTCTCAAGTTCCATCCATTTTCCTGCAAATGACAGAGGTTTTTTTTTTTTTTATGGCTGAATAAAACTCCACTGTGTATGTGTATGTATGTATGTATGTGTATGTATATGTGTGTGTGTGTACACACACACACCAAGTTTTCTTATCCATTCATCCACTGATAGACATCTAGGCTGGTTCCATAGTTTGGCTGATGTGAATTGTGCTGCTATCAAGATGAGTATGCATGTATGACTGTAGTATGCTGACTTTAATTCTTTTGGATAAATACTGAGGTGTGGTATAGCTGGGTTATATGGTGGTTCCATTCCTAGTGTTTTGAGGAAACTTCGTACTGATTTCCATAGTGGTTGTACTAATTTACAGTGTAAAAGTGTTTCTTTTTCCTCCCCCTTCCTCTCAAGGCTTTTTCTTTTTTTTTTTTTTTTTTTTTTGTATTCTTAATGGCTGCCATTCTACCTGGAAGGAGTTGAAATCTTCAGTGTAGTTTTTTTTTTTTTTTAATTTTTGTTTGTTCTTTTTAGTTCTACATGACAACAGAATGTGTTTTGACAT